TGGAAGTTTCCATCCTAAGCAGTCACACCATCCGTTCCGTCATGATGATGATGATGATGATGATCATCATCATCATCATTATCATTATTATTATTATTATTTGCAGCTGGGCAAACAATTTGCTAACGATCAAGCAGACATGAATTTAGAGCATCCTAACTAACACTTTTAGTTCAATGATGATAAAAATTAGCCCAACCAAAGGACAGCTTTTTCTATGACTAGTGACTAAGGATCCTCCTTTGAATGCAAGTGCCCTAAAAGAAAGGAAAACAAGGCCAGGAACGAAAACCGAAAACGTTGACTGTATTTAGTTCTAACGAACATTCAGTTCGTCCAGTAGAGGTGAAGGCCCAAGCACAAACGCTTAAGCTTTTTATTTTTAAAGACTTATTTATTTATTCGGACAGAACTGGGGTACAGGCCAGAGGTGCGGAGGGTGAGACGATTCACCAGAGACAGAGTGGGGAGCGGAGCAGAACAGGCAGATCGAGAAGTACACTGCTGAGGGGAGCAGCTGGCGGGTCAGGAGAGGTCTGCCTCACCATGTGGATCTCCTGGGGGGGGGGGCAGCGGGCAGGCAGGTGAGGGATCTGGGGATGGAACTTATGAGGAAGTGGCTTAAGCTTCTTTGTGCTGTGCTTTAGCCCACTGTGCCTCGAGGGAGGGCCACACCAGGGAAGGCCCTGGCTTAAGCTTTTTGGTTCCCAAAGCTCCCCCACCCCCACCCCAGGTTCCTATAGTGTGCGCATCTGGAAGAGAGTGAGGGCAAGGAGGGAGTGGGAAGGAGTATCTTGGACAGGAACATGTCCTCACAAGAGCCGATGAGGGCCTTCTGATGTCGCTCTGGTCACTTGACAGTCCCAGCCAGGTGCTTTTATGAGAACAGCCTGCCAAAGGTCGAGTCCCTGTTGACGTCATCCCATGCACCCCAGTACAAAACGACAGTGGTAAATGCAGGAGTGGCCCATGACCCTACAAAGAGCTCCCGTAGGAGCCATCTTTGGGGGTCCCCGACTCCTCAGGAACACCCCCTCATCTACCCACCCAGACTGTCGGAAGGCAGGAGATGTCTGGCCCGCCCGCGCCGGTCGGTCCTCAGGCCGAAGGCAGGCCCACAAAGCGAGGTGCGTGCAGGCGGGCATCTGGAGCAGACACGCCGAAACCTCCCTGGGGAAGCCGAGTGCCAGCACAGACAAACGGCCACCTCAGTCATGACGCGGCCTAAAAACAGGAAGGCCAAAGAGAGCGAGCGTGGTAGGCCTGAGAGAGGTGAGGCAGAGAGGTGAGGCGGCCCGCCGAGAGAACACAAAGGGACACGCTGGAACGAACAGAGGTCTAGAGATGGTCAAGTTGACTCTCAGGAGCAGACTGAGGTCAAACCAAGCTTTCATTTTCTTGCCAGCTCTCGTCAACACTCGAGTGTTCTGTTCGTGCTCTGACGAGTTTTGGGTGAGAACATCAAGACCGCTCAGGTGGTCTAACATCTGGGGTTCCTCTCACCTCACCCTCCAACTCAGTTCCTTGGGAAAATGGTGTCCCCTCAGCATCATCACAACCACCACCAGGGAGATGCGTCGGCTGACCTACCCTGCTTTTTCGCTCTGGGTCCTTCAATGTGTGGCTTGAGCAAAGGGAAGCTCCCGGCAAAACTTTCTTGGGATCCAGACAGAGCAGCAGGTTCTCCTCTTGGGCAGCGCTGCTGTCTTGGAACTTCCTGGGGAAAGCCAACAAAAGCCACACACAGTGAAACACAATTTCTTTAGACAGAGGCAGGCCAAGTTCCCTAAGGAAGTGATGATGACCCCTGCCTTTTTTTTTTTTTTAAATTTAATACTGCGCTGGTATCAAGGGGGGGGATTAAACATGGGACCATGAGTCAGCTCTGTAGAAATACATATACACATAAATAGATACGAGCGTAAGTGCGTGAGTCAATTCAATGAAATGAAGGATGCAATGGCGTCCAAAAAGAGAAAAGTTTCTTTGAATCCAAACAAAAGGCAAAACCTCAGCATCCGCTTTTCAAACCAAAAACCGAGCCAAGGGCAGGTTGACCTCTGAGGGTCTCTCTGTCGGTCTAGCCCAGGCGTGATCTGTAGAACAGATGTCCTTCACGGTCACAAGTTTCATCCACGCACGCGCACCAGCCTAGGTCCTCCTGTTGACAAACAGGTGTCACTGTCCATCTGCGGGCCGGCCATCACGTCACAGGACGGACAGCCCATCGACACTCACTAGGCACATACACATCATATCAGGACAGTCCGACCCTCCCCTCTCAGTGGGTCTCAGGACAGTCCAACCCTCGCCCCCTTCTCTGCAGCCCCAATCTTTACTTTTTTTTTTTTTTTAAATCAAGCGTTTAGATTTTTTTGGTTAAGGTTCATGTATTTATGGATGCCAACAGAACCGGGTGGGGGGGGAGGGGGACAGGTCAGAGGTGCGCGGGCAGTGAGCGGATTCACTAGAGGCAGAGCGGGGAGCGGCGCAGGCAGGCACCTCCACGGAGTCCGCCGCGCCCTCGTGGGTCCTCTCCGGGGCGGGGCGGGGAGAGGTGGTGGGGGGTGACGGGGGCGCGGCCGGCGGCGGGGCGGCGGCGAGCTTGCAGCAGCGCTGTGCCGCCACCAGGGGGCGCCCAAACCTCACGTCTCCTCGACTTGGCCGTTTCCCGACCCCCAAGCCAGACCCAAGGAAAGCGCGCTCGCTTTGCTCCCGACCACCGAAGCTCAGAATACTGTCCCACCCCCGTCGCCCCACCAACCCTGACATCAGTTGGCCCGTGGCTGGGCCCAGAACACAGCGTGCCGGCGGTAAAACGCTCGGCGCCCAACCCGCCTGAGGGGACTCGGCGCACGGCCCTTTTAGTTCTGACGGTCCAGTCCGTGAACGGCCAAACATGGATCGAACACCCTTTGCTTGGGTCGATACCATACTATCTGGCACGGTGGGTGGAGGGAGTCCCAGACACGAGGTCTCCCAAGCTTCAAGGTCACTCCAAGGATCCCCAAAGGGCTACCGGCCACGACCAGCCTGTGCTCCAGTCCACTTTGCCCTTAGCCCCCAGCCCAGACCTACACTCGCCTCTCCCCGAAGGGCGTCCGGCAGCTCTTTCTGCCCACTCGTGGCCGTGCCGTGCCAGCATCCTTCCTTTTCCCTCCCTGTCCCTTTGGTGAGACAATAAACCAGTCCCTGGAGTTAAAAACACACACACACACACACACACACACACAGCGTTTCCAGAGGCCAGAGCCAGCACGGGTGACAGCCCATTCTCTACAGCTGAGAACACACGAGAGGAACCACAGACACGAGCGGCACTTGCGGCAGCCAGGGCCAGCCAGCCGCGGGGAATTTCCCCACGAGGGAGGCCCCGGCAAACCAGAGGGCTCCCATCCCTCCGTGGGTGCCCCATTGGTGGCAGGGCGGGGAGAGGGGCACCCCAGAAGCCCCAGGCGGGCCGGCTCTAAACTGCCCACCCCCCAGAAGGCCTGTCGGGGGCAGGAGAAGGAGGGCAAGACGAGGGGGGCGCGCCTCATGGAAGCGAGACCATAGTCAATAGGCTTTCTCCATTGGGCCCCCAAAGCCCTCCATCCCTGTGTGGGGAACGGCCCACTGCCAAGCGATGGGCCCCGAGAAGCCCATCACAGGGGTGATCTTGCTCATGCCAGGCCCAGGCCTGACCCACTTCTGTGACCTTGGCCATGACCAGCACAGGCCAAGCATGGAGGAGGAACCAGAACGTGGCTGTAGGTGGATGGCAGAGGAAGGGCCCAGTTGTGCCCAGCATGTCTCTTTGGGTCACCACAGCCAACTCAACAGAAGCAACAAAGGGAATGTATTGGCTAAAGTGAATGGAAAACCCCGGAGTAAGGCCACCTTCAGGCATAGCTATATCCAGGAGCCCATGCAGGGTCATCATGACTCAGCGGTCTTACTCCCGCTTCTGTCTAGGACAGGTCTTCTCCATAGCATAGTCCTTAGCCATTCCAAGCTTCCAAGAAGGAGGACTCTCTCTTCTCAAAAATTCAAATAAAAATCTGGGATGAGAGTCTCTTTGGCCTGTTTGGATAACATCCGCATCCTTGAACCAGCTTATAGCTGGCCAAGCCTGGGCTTTAGGGTACCTTCAGCCCTACATGGATTTCATTCTCCCAAAGACCGGAATGCTGATCCCAGAAGGTAGGAAGATGCTAGGCTGTAAAAAAGTCCCATTCATCTCTCACCAGGTATGATCAACCCATGACTGGGCAGCAAAAGCAAGCCCTAGTCAGCTGCAGTGAGACCCAGATCAGCAGAGTGGCAGCTAGTGAAAAGCACCAGGCCCAGTGGTTTTCTATGTGCTCCTAGACTGATTCCTCCCCCCGGTCCCCAGCGTGGCCCTCGCCTTCCTCGTCCATAACACTTGAGGAAGGTGGCCTGGTGCAACCGAGCCTTCCCTTGGAATCACAGAGACTTTGCAATACCGTGTTGTGGCCCAAGTCCCATTCCAGGCTTCTTAAATCACAATCTCAGGATTATGGGAGCCAGGTCATTTTTAAAAACTTTGGTGCAGACAGGCTTGAGGACCTTAGGCCCCAAAGAAACCTCTCGAGCCCCCCAAACACGATGGAATGAGAAATTTTGCATTCGCTGTGACTTCTCCTCACCGCCATGCTATGTGCCGACGACATATAAAAGATGTAAGGCAGCGAGGTTAGGTGACATGCCCAAGGCCTCACGGCACCCCTGACCCATGGGGCGGGGGTGGGGGGCAGCGGGCAGTACTTCCAGGTCACGCACCTGCCTCGCCCTCTCCCCAGGGCGGCTCTTCGGCCAGGGGCACCGCCCTGCGAGGCCGCTTGGACTCCGACCTGGTGGTGTTTCTCAGCTGCTTCGGGCGCTTCACCGAGCAAGGAAGCAGGCGGGCAGAGATCATCTCCAAGATCGCACCCAGCTGGAGGCGTGTCAGCGGGAGCGGCAGTTGGAGGTGAAGTTCGAGATCTCCAAGTGGGAGAGTCCCCGCTTGCTGAGCTTCTCGCTGGCGTCTCGCACCATGCTGGACCAGAGAGTGGGCTTCGACGTGCTGCTGGCCTTTGACGCCCTAGGTGAGCCGCCCAGAGCACAGGCCAGGCTGGGAGAAGCGGGGTGGCCGTGGGGGCAGCTGGGCAGATCTCTTGCAGGCGCCCCCAGCCCTGGCTTGCGCTCTCGCTGTGTGGACGTGTTTTTATGCTCCTTTCCTGCCAAGAGTCTGGAGAAAGGCACCTTTTCTTGTTTACACAGAGGTGCTATTAGGGCTGACAGTGCCGGGCTCAAGTCACAATCCCAGCACACTAATGACCTCAAGTCCTGGTCAAGTTCACTTTCCCTGCCCAGCATCTACATCAGACAAGGACATGGAAGATGCCTTAATGCCCCTGGCCTAGCTTTGAGAACTTGGGGGCCACATCCCCCACCTGCCATCTGATGGCCCATTCAGTAAACACACCTGCTCTGTGCCCAGAGCTCTGCAGGCATCTGAGGCAAGTGTTCTGGAACAACACAGACACACATCCACTTAGGAGGTTCACAGGTCTGGGCTGGGCCGTGGAGTTTGCGGAGTGAAGAAATCCCACTCTGAAGTCTGGACAACAAGGAGCAAGGAGACCTGAATCTATGCCATCCCTCAGTTCAGAGCAGGAGTCGGGGGCTCGGAGGGGTGGGTAGGGGAAGTGTGTGTGTGTAAGGAACTGGATCGCACCAGGAGGGCGATGGTGGTTCCCGGCACTTGCAGGCCCTTCCTGCCGGCCATTAAGACACCTGCTCCCCTTTGTGAGAGGAGTGCAGGTCGGCAGCTCTTGGAGACAGGCCAGCTCCCTGCAGCGACTTTCTCCATGATGGGTGAGCAGGCCGATTGAAAGCGCGGGGGATAGAATAGGTCTCAGCAGGCACCTAGCTGGTCATGCATTCCACGCACAAAGTCCTGTGCCCACCTCCCCCTGCCACACACCCTGGGATGCCAGGCCCCCACTGGGAATGCCCAGGTAGGAGGGCTCCAAGTCCATTCTCAGTGGGCACCACGCTTTCTGGGAAACAAAGTGATGCTGGCCTCCCCAGGTGACATGAGCCGTTTGGTAACACCCACCCTCACCCCCTGGAAGGCTGAAGGATTAGGGAAACATGGGGCGGCACGGTGTGGGGTGAGGGACTGGTCATCTGGGCTGGGCAGAAGGCATTTGTGTTGACCCTAGCAAGCCCCTCGATCTTCGGCAGTGGGCAGAGATGCTCCGCTGTCACTTGGGAGCCTCCTGATCTAGCCACACCCTTACCTTGATGTTGGCGCCCCTAAATTGCCTATGTATAAGTCCCTCATACATTTCACAGTTGCCCTAAAAATATTCATTTGTGATTTCCCTTGGAATGAAGCAAGTAGATGCTAAAATTCCTATGGACAAGAAAAGCTAGGAAAAAAACAGCAAGGAGAACCCCGGGGAGAGACCAGCCCTTAGCAGTGTAGTAACAGAGGAAGCCTCTGTGCTTCAGCAACACTGGCCAGTTGGGTGTCAATTGCCATCGCTCCAGGAGGGAAAATGACAAACAACTAAAGGAGGCCAGAGGTAAAGAGCCTTCCTGGTGGCATGGGGTGAGGCAGAAGGCTGAGAAAAGTGAGCACCTCTTCCAGCATCGTGGGGAGACCCAAACCTCTAAAGGAAGTGTGCTTTTAATATTTTTTAATTTAATTTTTAAAAATCCTTTTTAAGATTTATTTATTTGTGCATACAGAACTGGGGTACAGGCCAGAGGTGCAGGGGCGGTGAGAGGAGTCACCAGAGACAGAGTGAGGAGCAGAACAGGCAGATGTATGAAGTACACTGCTGAGGGGAGCAGCGGGCGGGTCAGGAGAGGTCTGCTGCGTCCTGTGGATCACCTCCAGGGCAGGTGGGGATTGAACTCATGTGGAAGTGGCTTTAGCTTCTTAGTGCTGGGCTTTAACCCACTGCACCACCAGGGAGGGCCCTTAAAAATTCTTATTGAGATACAGTTCACGTACCAGAACTGCATCGCCTTCTGAGAGCATGCACCTGAGTGTTGCCTACCTCAAGGTTTCTACTGCATCCACTCATAAGACAAGTTATCCCACAAGGTCCATCACCATGCTCATTCTAGAACATTTTCAGCCCCACCATAAAACCTGAAACCCATCAGCAGTCTCGCCATTCCCTCCTGCCTCCTCCCCCACAATCCCTGTGACCATGTTTCTGTTTTTCCTGTTAAAGTCGTTTCATGTGATGGCATCACATGCTGAGGAGCCTTTTGTGTCTGCTCCTATCACTCGGCATCATGTTGTCAAGTTTCATCCACGTTTTTCATCCATGTTATAGCTGGTGTCAAGGCTTTGTGCCTTTTCATGACTGAGTAATATTCCATTGCATGGGTAGACTGCTTTCTATTTATCTCCACCAACAGTCATTTGGGTTGTTGCCACTTTTTGGCAATTGTAAATAATGCTAGGAACGTGTGGGCAAGGTTTTGCACCTGTATTTTCATTCTCTGATCTGCCTTGGGTCTATACCTAGGAGTGGACTTGCTGGTTCAGATAGTAACTCTGTCTAACCTTTTGAGCACCACTTCACTGCTTTTCACTGTGCACTCCTTTGCACTCTTACCTGCAATGCATGGCCTTCCAGTTTCTCCACATTCTTGCAATACTCTACTTATTAGCCATCATTTTCATTGTGGCCATAGTGGGTGTGGAAGAAAGTTATATATTCTCAAAAGAATCAGGCCTGCTAAACAAGGTCAGGACCCTACTTAAGAAAGAATGGGACCCTGGCCTCTAGACTGGGAGCTTAAGGGATGAAGTCCCTGAGGATCTCCAATCACCACATCCCTCCAAACCCCCAGAGTTACAGCAATAGCTCACCCCTCATCCCTGTTAGAAGCTACTGCCTGCCCCTTGTGTGAAGACCCTCCTGAGGCCTCATTCCAGGAGACCCCCCCAAGATCTGAGCCTGAATTTCCTCCTGCCCACTAGGCCCATGACTAGGATTAAGTCCTGACACCACCCCGCTGGGGAAATGCTGGGCAGTGCTGGGGGGAGGGGAGGGGCTGTGTCCCAAGTGGCCATAGGAGGTAGCCAGTGTCCCAGCAGAAACTAGTGGACATGTGGAGGTGTGACTGTCAAGGGCGCTGACCTAGAGGCTATGTGTGGGGTCAGATGTGAAGGCTTATTGACTTGGGAGCGCTCTCCAGGAATGTGGGGCTTCACACTCTGAAAAGGTCCCTACAAGATATAAGCCTCAACTAGGAAGGCTCCTGAGAGAACAGCTACTATGAGAGCCGAATGCTAGTGTCGTGTCGTGAGCGAGTGGTAGGGAAGCGGCCCGCTGGGTGCCCTTGCTTCCGGGGCCAGGAAGCTCACTGGTGACACTGTCCCCGGAAGGGCAGGGAGGCCCAGTCACAAGGAAGATGCCAGTGGGGGACCTGCCTCGCTGAGCTCGGGTGCCCTTAGGAGATGCCTCCCGGTGCCTGGTGACCCTGGATGTCGAACTGGGAAGGAAATCACAGAGGCCACGAGACCAGGACCCGTCAGGCAGACCCCAGTTAGGGCGCTGGTACCCCTGGGGACAGACACGCTGGGCCACCAGCGGGAGCCACCCAGACTGTGCCATCACATACTTCCAGGACACTGGGGAGCTTCCGCAAATCAGAAGTCACTGTCCCTTTCTAGCAACTTCCCCAGGACGTACAGTGACTCCTGACTGGGGGAGAGGCAGGTGCGCCAGGAGCTGGCGTGATTGGCCTAGCTAGGTCCTGCCCAGCCCTTGCTGCGTGGCACTGAGCAAGTCACTTCCCTCCCTGGGCCTCTTTTTTCCTCCCTGCTTTCCCTAAGCCTGAGTTCCCAGCCCACCCGGAACTGGAGGAGGGGAAAGAGCTTCTGACACTGACCTCTGCGGCTGGCTGGCGGGGCTGACCATGGAATGAGTTTCCTTTCGGCGACTCTTTCATCTTCCTATCAGTACTCCAGGGTTGTCTTGACTACAGCTGGGGAAATCTAAGCACTCAAGGGGCAGCTGGCATGCCCAAAGGCACAGGTGTGGCATGGGCCCAGAGGCTGCAGCCTCACCCCAGGGATCACATGGGCACGGGCCTGGCGGCCACTTCTTGACCAATGATGTCAGCTGGGAGCCCTTGAGTTTCATTTTCTCAGCTTTTGGCTCCGGGTTGCTCAACCTTCTTCCCACTCTGCGGGTTGCTCAACCTTCTTCCTACTCTGCCACCCACTGACAGCAGCCACGCAGCGATGGCATCCTCGACGCTCCAGGGGGCCCCAATGCCCACTTATGAACTAGATGAGTTCATCCGGTTTGTCCTGCGGCCCCACAGAAGCTGTGAGACGAGGCTCAGCTGCATGATGGAACGGCTCGGCACCTTCCTGCAGGGCTCCGAGGAGCTGCGCCTGGAGAGAGAGGCAGCTGTGGTGAGTGGGAGGCAGGGCCGGGCTGGTGGGGCCCAGGAGCCGGCGAGGCTGCTGAGAGTGGCGCCTTTCGGTGCAGAGTGCCTACTGCGTGTGGGCCCTGGGCACACGAGACGTCAGCTGGTCTGCCCCGCGCCGGACCAGGTGGTGGGAGTGGTGTAGTTTGGGAGCCGGTTGCTCGACCTCTCTGTGCCTCAGCCTCTGACTCTATAAAGTAGACAGACAGGACTAATAACCCGTCGGAGGACAGAGTACAGTGAGACAGGTATATAATGTTCTCAGCACGGGGCCTGGGACACAGTGCTCCACAGATGGGCTGTGATTACTCACTATTATGGCTTTTATTCCTTGCAAAGGAGTAAACTGAGGCCAGAAGCCGTCTGTAAAACTCCCCAAGGCTGCTCTCTGGCTTCTCAACACCAGTTAGAAGGGCTTAGTGCTATGTACAAAGTCCCAAGATTGAGACTGAAGAGTCTAGACCTTTGGGGAAGCCAGGGCACCAGGAAGGTGCCAGGACCCCCGGGTGGGGAGGGGCGTCGAGATCTCTAGCCACACCCGATGTCCTCCAGCACTGGTGCCCCGCTTCTCTGCCTCTCTGTGCTTCCTGGGGTCTGCCCTCCACACACCCTCTGGCCCAGACTCTTGCCTAACACACCCAGACACAGTTTCCGATGAGGAAACTGAGCCCTGGCAGCAGGCCCAGGTGAGCTTCTGGGGAGCAGACACCCTATCATTCACTTTTTTTCTAGTTGAAGTAAAAAATACAAAAAGAAAATTGCACAGAAGTAACCAGATAGCTTGATGGGTCACCATGAACAAATTGTGTACCCCACAGCCAAAATTAGAAACAAGATGTTCCCTATCCCCAAGGAGAGTCCCTGAGCTGCTACTGGTCACTCACAGCCCAGGCAGCTCTCTCCTGGCCTCTAAAATTGGGACGGTCCCAGATAAACTAGAGGGGTCGTTCACCTGATGTGCATGAAATCATGCACTTGGTGCGTTCAGTGGGTTCCTGTGACATCTGTGAAATGCACACCCTCATCTATCATTTCCTGGCTGAGGAACAATAGGCATTGTGTGGTGTGAGCACACTCTGGTTGTGTTGCATTGTGTGGTATAAACACACCACACTGTCCAAGCTCTTGTTGATGGTCATTTCAGCTGCCTCCAGTTTGAAGCTTATATGGAAAATGCTCCTAGGAGGATCCTAATTTGGGTCTCCAGATAGACAAATTGACACCTGTCAAGACGGTGGCGACATCTGTGATCTCCGTTTGAGTTGAGGATGCTACCACCTGCCAGGAGCCCCGTGACTCCAGGTGTCCAGGCATCTCACACCTGCTTCTCTTTTGCTGGCAGGGTGGTTCCTATGGCCGGAAAACGGTCTTGAAAGGCAACTCCGATGGCACCCTGGTCATCTTCGTCAGTGACTTTGCACAATTCCAGGATCTGAAGAAAAATCAACATGAAATCCTTAACAAAATCCAGCAGCAGTTGGAAAGATGTCTATTAACCAGGCTGTTGGCAGCCAACTTGAAGATCCAAAGACTCAATGACAAGCTCACCATCCAGCTGTTCACAGAATACCAGAAAATCACTTTTGAGGTGCTGCCTGCCTTTAACGCTTTAGGTGAGCGCTTCTAGGTATGTGCGGGGCTTAGATTGCTGACCAGGAGCAAAGCCAAAAAAAGAGGCAGAGGACCTCCATGCGGGCTCTCTGGGTTGGGGACGGTAACACCACTGTGCTTTCTGGAGTGGGTGACCTAGACTTCATGAGAGGAGGCCTCTCCTACCACAGGGATACTCTTCTCTAGAACTTCTCCCTCATCTCTTAATTGACTTTGGAGGGATTGCTCTAGACCCTAGAGCAGAGCTTCTCAAACTGTGGCATGCAAAAGAATCACCTGGGAATCTTGTACATGCAGGTGCTGGTTCAGACGTGGGAGACAGAACCCAAGATTCAGCACCATCACGATGGTGATGTTGGTCTGTGGACCACAGTGAAGGACTCAGACCATGCTGGTTAGAGGGAGAGGATGGGGCAAAATCCAGGAAAAGTTCAGGTAGGTTAGGCATTCGGAGTCTACCTTCCAGCAAGGTCAATGTCAAGGCAAGGACCTTTCATGAGTGAGTGTCTACCAGAGTTTGAAGGGTGCCTCAAGATCAATTTCTGTCTCTCAAGATTTCCCCGCCACCTGTGCTCCCTGTCTCAGTAGAAGTCCCCACAGCCCCATTTATCACTTAAGCCTGGCTCATATATCTTATGCTCCATTTGTTCACACAACAACCTGTCACTAAGGCCTGCCAGTTCTGCCAGGTACCATAACAGGTACCATAGCTGTCTTGTTCTTTTTCTTCTGCTATTGTCTCTTGTATTATGTTCATAGTCAATAACAGTTGTTGAATGGATGGATATGTAGATGGATGTATGATTGGATGGATGGACGGTTGGTTGGACGGGTGGACGGACGGACGGACGGACAGACGGATGGGTGATGGGTAGATGGATGGATGATTGGCTGGCTGACTTGATGGTTGGTTGATTGGATTGATAAGACTCAGTATAGTTGCAACTTAGTTTCAAGTACAGATACACAGATATCACAAACTTATTAAATCCCAGAGCTGAAATTCAACCCTTTGTTAAACAAGTGGGCAAATGAAAGCAAAGGAACATGTCTGGGCCCACAGCCAGTTCTAATAAGAGCCACGGTCTTTACAGCCCCAGGCCAAAGTGTCTCCAAGGTGGAGACACACACACACACACACACACACCTTAATGAATCATGCACACAGAAGGGGACCTAATTCAGAGGAAAATACACCCCCTTGGAAAGCAGCCAACCCTGAGTTCTTAGTCTGGTCCCATTAGTCACGCACTTCTGCTGACTATAAGATTAAGCTGGACGAATTTTCTAGCAGGACCTTTACGACACAAAGGTTCAAGAGTACAGGCTTGTCTCAAACAAAGGAAAAATCAAGGTGCAGATACACAGTATGATGCAGACTTGGGAAAGCTTTTCACCGCTCCTCCAGAGCACGCAGAGCGCCCCCTGCTGGGGCGGCCTCATTATGCAAGGATGGTGGGAGGCGTCAGCGCACACCCCAAACTGAGATTCCTTTTCTGAAAGGAAACAATGGGGCCCCGCCCCGGTGGCCCAGCAGGTTAAAGCACAGCACTGAGAAGCTAAAGCAAGATCCCCAGCCCTGGAGGTGACCCACATGGCACGGCAGACCTCTCCTGCTCTGCCCACTGCTCCCCTCAGCGGTGTGCTTCCTCCATCAGCAGCCTGTTCTGCTCCCTACTCTGTCGCTGGTGAATCCTCACTGCTCCTGCACCTCTGGCCTGTACCCCAGTTCTGTGCATAAATAAATAAATCTTAAAAAAAAAAAAAGGGCCCTCCCTGGTGGCGCAGCGGGTTAAAGCACAGCACTGAGAAGCTAAAGCCACTTCCACATGAGTTCGATCCCCACCTGCCCTGGAGGTGACCACATGGCCAGGCAGACCTCTCCTGACCTGCCCGCTGCTCCCCTCAGCAGTGCACTTCATCGATCTGCCTGTTCTGCTCCCCACTCTGTCTCTGGTGAAGCCTCTCGCCGCCCCTGAGTTTTCTGGCCTGTACCCCAATTCTGTATGTACAAATAAATAAATCTTTAAAAAAAAAAAAAGGAAACAATGATAGTCACTTTCTGAGAAAAGTAGCCTGTCAGGAAATCTCAAATTGTTTTCCAGAGCAAATATTAGCCTCTCCAACCTGGCCTTTCTGCATGAGGTCCGGGCTAACTTCCGCAACTCTCCCTGCATCTTTCCCATGGCTATCTGCCCTCACTGCTTTCTCTCCGGGGCCTTTGATCAAAGCAGGACGCTTATGTTTCCCCTGCTTTCCTGGCACTTCAGTTTCCTTTTCTACAAGTTAGCGGTGAAAATCACCCTGGCTGCGGAAGTGTCCGGTGAGGCACACGTATTTCTCTGGCCCTAGAGATGAGGCCGTGTCTGGCAGTGAGTAGCCTGAGTAAATGTTGGCTGCATCGTTACCATTACTGAGGAAGTTAGAATGTTCCCTCAACCTCCCTGCATGCCAAGGGCCCAGAACCATGCCTGGCTGATAACAGGGAGTCAGTAAGTAAACATTTGTCAGCTAAAGAAAGATAAGATGGCGGCTGTCTCCTGGCTGTTTGTCTCACTGTGTTTCTGGTGGAGCTCAGCTAGCAAAGGCCCTTTGATTAAATTCTGTAAACGCTACATTTTCACCCTACTAAAAGGGTATCAGAATCACCTGAGGAACTTGGTAAAAACTACAGACGCCCAGGTTCTGTCTACTTGGGGGCCAGCTCTCCCACAGAGATAATAATCTGGCACTCAGAGGCCCAGGCCTACAGACCTGAGGCCTTCTGGCTGTGTTCCAGATTAGCTGTGCAGCAGGATGCAATGGGCATCCCAGTTGGAGAACCACTGCTGTGCTTCACCCCTCCCCCCAGGGCCCAGCTCTACACCGAATGCCCCTGCCCACTGGCCTCCATCCCGGCCTCCAACGCCGTGTCTGCATCAGGCTTCACCTGGTTTCTATGCGTCCCAGTACCTGTTCCCTTTACTCTAAAATAGTTGCTCACGGAGAGGACTCAATAGCAGAATGTTAACTTGTAATGCATAAACTTTATGGCTTCCAAAGTTCTGCCAACCGTGCTTTTAAAAAGCCATCTTCTCCCTACTAACCCCTTTTTCACCCCCACGCTGGGTCCTGTGATCCCATCTTAGGCTGGCACAATCCTGTCATCAACCACACTTATGGCCTACAGGGCAAGCCTCCTTCAGCTTTTATGTCAACACACCAAGCCTCTTACAGCTGGGTCGCTGACATGTGCTGTCAAACCACGATCACCTTCATAGCTGGCTCCCCCAGGCCGGGTAACATGAGCACTCAGAGTTCTGGCTTCTCCTTCATACCAGGCGCCAGTGGCAAGCCCAGCCCCGGGATCTACAGAGACCTCATACGTTCCTTGGGTAAGACGGGAGCCAGCCCTGGGGAGTTCTCAGTCTGCTTCACAGAACTCCAGCAGAAGTTTTTTGACAACCGTCCGGAAAAACTTAAGGACCTCATCCTCTTGATAAAACACTGGTGGCATCAAAAGGTAATTTGCAAATTGTCAGTCAGTGCTGTTGCACCACCCTTTCCCTGGAGTTCATTTACACCTTGTCGAGTACAGTAGGTTAACTATACAGCCCAATGCATTTTTAAAAAATTTATTTTATTTACCTATGCATTCAAGAACTGGGGTATAGGCCAGAGGTGAGGGGTGGTGAGGGGATTCGCCAGAGCTGGAGTGGGGAGCAGGAAACAGACAGGTCTACTGAAATACAATGCTGAGGGGAGCAGTGGGCAAGATAGGAGAGGCCTGCTGTGCCGTGTGGGTCAAATCCTGGCCGGGGATTGAACTTGTGCCATAGTGGTTGGTGATAACTTCATAATACTGAGACTTCAACCCCTGCACCACCAGGGAGGCCCTCAACATGTTTTTTTAATATCTTCTAGAGCAACACCCAGGTCAAGGCTGGGCACATTTCCAGCGTCCCCAGCAGTTGCTTGAAATCCACTTCTAGATGATATTCCCCCAAACAAACGACTCTCCTCACATCCAACACCTCAAATGAGTTTTGTGGTTTTAAACCTAATGTCAATGGAATCATCTGTTTGTAGTAGAGCCTGAGGTCTTTGTCCATGTGAGTTTTAAATTTGTTTTGTGGTATCCATTGTATTAGTACACCTTGCATTTGTCTGTTCTGAGGCTGATGGACATCTGGGTCATTTCCAAATTGGGTCTATTATGAATCAGGTTGCTCTGGTTAATGTCCTACTATTTTGAGGAGTCTGAGCACTCATTTCTCTTGCATCAGAAGGCTGGAGTGGAACTGCAGGGTTTGAGGTACATGCATATGTATGTATACATCCACACGTATAGTCTATGTGTATTTGTGTAACATAATGAATATACGTGAATATGCATTTTTGTTAACTTCAAATATTGCCAAATGGCTTCCCCAAATAACTGTACCAAATGACACTCCCATCTGCAACTTACAAGAGTTTCAGATGCCCCGAGGCTTGCTGTTGACCGTGGGCCAACTTTTAGGCTTGGTGCCATGTTAGTTGCTGGTCGGGGACACTGGCCTTGCGTAGGCCTCTGGGTTCTTGATTTCAGATCCCCGGCATGGGGGCAACCGGGTCTTCAGACTAACCGTTGCCTTTCTTTCTGCCACAGTGCCAGAAAAAGTTGAATAATCCATCCCTGCAGCCCATGTACGCTCTGGAGCTGCTCACGATCTACGCCTGGGAGCAGGGGAGCAGAACGGAGAGCTTCAGCATAGAGGAAGGGCTCCGGAGCATCCTGAGACTGATCGAGCAGCAGGAGCAGCTGTGTGTCTACTGGACCATCAACTACGACTTTGAGAACGAGACCGTCCGGACCTGGCTGCTGAGCCAGATCCACTCCCCGAGGTACCAAGCTCCCACAGCCCTTTCTCTACCTCTTCACGCCCCTGACAATAACAATGACAATGACAATGGGAACGGCCCTGGCTTCTCCAGCCAAGGTGTGCCAGAGAACACCAGCAGCAGTGGATAGAGCAGCAAACAGAATGCCTGCCCCGCGCGTTCCCCATCTCCAAGCTCTTCACATTTTGTCCCCGAAACAAACACTCAAGAGGTGCTTCTGCTTATAGAATGAAGGCTCTGGGCCCTCCCTGGTGGCGCAGTGGGTTAAAGCACATAGCTGTGAGGCTGTCCGCAGTCACTGCAGCACGAGTCCGATCCCCGGCCAGGGAGCTGACCCACATGGCGCAGCAGACCTCTCCTGTCTCCCTGCTGCCCCCCTCAGCAGTGGATTTCAGTAGAGCTGCTTGTTCTGCTCCCCACTCTGTCTCGGGTGGATCCTTTCACTCCCTGCACTCTGGCCTGTACCCCAGTTCTTGTATGCATAACTAAATACATCTTAAAAAAAAAAAAGGAACGAACCCTCTCCTTCTCTGGTAGGAGAGAAAGAGGGGTTGGCAGAGAGACACTATTTTCTTCTATTGGTCATGGAACATTTCTGCAAAGCAAAGAACACAGGGCCAGAGGACCAGGGAGGCCAGAGGTCTTAGAACAAGCACCTCAGCCTTCAGGGGGAGCCACAGCAACTACACCTGGGTTGCCCAGTCTGGGTTTCTTCCGATTTCTTCTCCCGCAAGCTGCCTGACTGATTTGCTTTTGAACCACATGGAACTCACAGGCCTGTCATCTTGGATCCTACTGACCCAACCCATAATTTGAGCCAAGATAAGACATGCTGGCAGCTGCTGAAACAAGAAGCTCAGAGCTGGTTGTCATCTCTCACCCTGGAGGAGTCACACAGGTCATCTTGGAATGTTCTGGTGAGTGGGCTTTCCCAATATGCGTTGATGCTGCAGGGAGGGCCCCTAACATCGAGATTACAGTCTCCCCTGCGACCGCTGGGTGTCCCCCGCGAGGCCAAGTGCTGGGTGACTTAAAGTGAGGTCGTTTTATTCACACACAGTTCTGGTGGACAGAAGTCCAAGGTTAAGATGACAGCAGAGATCTTACATCCCCAATGTAGCGGGTTGAGTAGCGTCCCCACAAATTTAAGTCTGCCTGAACCCTCAAAACATGGGCTCTTCTGGAAGTAGGTTCTTGCAGGCATAATTAGTTAAGGTCGCATGGACCCTGCATCCAGCGACGAGGGTCACTATAAAAAGACACATGGGAGTACCTGTGGTTGCAGGGTGCATGTCACTCAGCCAAGGCAGGCCAGGCACACCGGAGCCACCAGGAGCTGGAAGAACATGGAAGGATCCTCCTTCAGAGAGGGCAGCGCCCTGCTGCCTCCTTGGTTTTGAATTTCCAGTCTCCAATGAGAGAATACATTTCAGTTACAATTTGCTGTGACAGTCCCGAGAGGCCAGTGTCTCTGGGCTCCACGAGAGTGACCTTGAGAAAGGGGTGGTTGTGACCCTCTGCAGTCTACATACTTAGGGGAAAATAAGGAACAGGTGAGTGGGAGAAGCTGGAGGGCAGGGGCCGTCAGCAGATGATCAGAAAGCAGTTTGGAGTCCGGGCATTTTATGAACCCAATGGGAGAAGCCAGGTGGAGGGAAGGGGTGGCAAGTCCGTGGGGGGAGAGGTAGAGAGGAGGAGGGAGAGGCTGCTTGGGGCCAGGCAGGGATGGCTCGCCTGAGCATCCTTCCTCCTCGCCCAGCCAGCAGCCCTCTCCGAGACCCCAGGCCACCTTCTAGATCGCTACATCAAGGACTTTCTCCAGCCCGACGAAGACTTTATAGATCAGATCTCTAGAGCTGTCGACATCATCTGTACATTCCTTAAAGAAAACTGCTTTCGAGATTCAACTACAAAGGTTCTGAAGGTCATCAAGGTAAGTAGTGGCCCCTGTCGTAAGCAGTGGCCTCGTCAGGTGAGTAGTGGCTCCTGTCCACTGGCAGGAGCCTGTGGTTACTGTGCTCCAAGATGGCGCCTCCATCGGAAGCTTGAGGACAAAGGGAGCAAGCAGAAGGGAGGCTGGGAGATGGACAACGGAAATATTGTTTTCTGCCTCCTCAGCACTTTAGGTCATACACTCACTCTCTACTCGTGTTTGGTCTCGGGGCACTGGCCACCCCCCTTGGTTGAGCCACATCCTCCAGCCTCTACTTCCCTTTCCATATCCCCTTCGCCCATGTCCTCTCTTCTCGGGCCACTTGTCACTGGATTTAGAGCCCTCAGACCCTGACTTAATTAAAATTACAAAGATACTTTTCCCAAGTAAGATGGCACCCCCTAGAAAGCAAGGGGGTCACCACCATTCACAGCTCTGAGAGTCCAGGCCCAGTGTGTACTGGACCCACAAGTGACCTGTCTCGTTTCAATGGCTGTTTCAATGATTGGGGCCAGAAGCAGCCCATCCCCGGGAGCAGCTGGGTCATTCTTGCCCATGACTCATCGGACCTGCTTCCCTGTACCTGCTGGTCATAGCCAGATAACCAGTGCCCATGGTCACAAGAAGCAGGGAGGACCACGCTGATAGGTGTGCAGAAACATGGGCCCTGATGCCCATCCAGACCTATGAGCATGAGCGCTGAGATGGGGGAGGGGGGTGGGGGCAGGTAACCACACCCGGTGAACAATCTGCAGAAGGAAAACAAGGCTGAGCTCATGGCCATGGTGGAAGCCATGTCCGCCTCTCCTTCCCCAGGCTCCCGCTAGCAAGGTAATTACTAGGAAACGGCAAGGAAAGCCGGAGACCGCTATCAGCAGATGTCTCCAAGCTGCTGAGGCCTGGCACTGGCTGCCAGCTGGACAGGGCGGTCCCCGAGGAAGGCACCAGCTGCAGACGTGAGCAGGGGGCTTGGCGCTGTGAGACCAGCGCTCTTACATCAGCTGTAGGGTCAGCTGCAGGGGGACTGGGCTGAACAGGGAGGAGTAGAGTCTGCGCAGCTGCATGCAGTTTTGTGTGGTACACTTAATTTTTTTTAATATTTATGTATTTATGCATACAGAGCTGAGGTATAGGCCAGAAGTGTGGGGGTGACAAGAGCATTCACCAGAGACAGAGTGGGGAACAGAACAGGCAGATGGACGAAGCACACTGCTGAGGGGAGCTAGGGGAGACAGGAGAGGTCTGCTGCGCCCTGTGGGTCACCTGCACGGCGGGGATCGAACTTGCCCTAAAGCCGCCAAGGCTTGGCTTAGCTTCTCAGTGCAGCGCTCCAACCCGCTGCACCAGGGAGGGCCCATAAAGTCCGTGTCTAAGACCCCACGGCGGAGGTTAGGGAGAACTCCCTGTACAGGAAACAGCCCTCCTGCCCCTCGCCTGCCTTCGGGCTTGGACTGCGAGAACAGCCTTCTCTCTACAGCGCCTGAGTGAGCTCGCTGGGAGTGGGAGTGACTGGGCAACCAGAGTGAGGGTCGGCACCTGAGCAAAGCCTGCCGCTTTGCAGAAGCGGGGGTGCCCCGGGGAGGGGTGCCCAAGGGAGGGGCTCAGCTAAGGAAATGCTGCCTCGGCTTTGCTTTCTCCACTAGGGCGGCTCCTCGGCCAAAGGCACAGCTCTGAAAACCGGCTCCGATGCCGACCTCGTGGTGTTCCTCAGTGCCATGAAGAGCTACACCTCCCAAAAGCAACAGAGGAAGGACATCATCAATGAAATCCACAAGCAGCTGGAAATCTGTAGGGAGCAGGAGAAATTTGAAGTGAAATTTGAGATTCCAAAATGGGAGTTTCCTAGGGTGCTGAGCTTTTCTCTGAAATCCAAAGAACTCAAGGAAAGGGTTGACTTCGATGTGCTGCCTGCCTTTAACGCGCTAGGTAAGGGTCCCCAGGCCTTCGCTTCTGGAGGAGGAAGGGGATGGGGGTGTCGAGGCACACCAGTGACACCTGTGTGGCTTTCGCTTGCATGTTTGCACCCTTGTAGAGGCCGGCCCCTACATCTTACACTCCTGTGGTATCATCATAATATCTATTAAAGAAAGGGGTCTCTTGAGTTCCGTCCATGTTCATAGATTAAACGTTTTAAGGATTCAGGGAGGAAATTAAAGAACACACTATGGGAAGAATTCTCAGACAAAGGCAGGAAAGCAGGTGTTCACCAGCTTAGTCAAATAGCTCTTAAAAATTCAAGCTACAGGAAGGGTCACGTTTAGCGAAATAAGCCAGAAAGAAAAAGAAAAACACCGATGGCTTCACTCATAGCAGGAGCATGAAGGACCAGGGGGGAAAATAATGATAAACAACTATATGCCAGAGACATTTTATGGGGGTAGAGTGGGGAATGGGATAAAAAATGGGGGGCGGGGGGAGTTTGCACTGGACTATGGTGATGGCACATGGGTGATTTGGTGATGGGAAGCCCTTGGGATTACAACTGAGATGGAAAAGGCACAAAATGATGTAAAAGTAAACTATTATAATTAAAAAAAATTCAAGCTACATAATGCGCCATTAGGAGAAATTAAGGCTGTTTTAGGCATTTTCCAAATCAGTCAAGAAAAATGGCACCTTCCCTCTGAGTGGTTCTGTCTCTGGGAGAGGAAGTAACAGTATAGACTGGAGATTGGTTAAGCTTGTTGGTAAAAGACAGGATGGCAATGTTTTTCAGCTTTGAGTACCACCGGGTCTGTCACATCTGCTCAACTCTGCCAGTGAAAGCCGAAAGCAGCTACAGATAGTGCCTAACAAATGGCCATGACTGTGTTCTGATAAAATTTCATTTACGAAAACAAGTAGTGGGCTGGATTTAGCCTGGGGGGTGGGGGTGGGGCACTCCAGGCTAGCTCAATCCAATCGGTCTTTCCTCCACAAATGGGAATGTACTAGATCTGTGCCCTGTGTCTGTGGAGACCTATACATGAAGCTAAGGTGACAGAAAGAAACACCATGTTTTACTTCCCTTTAGTTAACTTGAATGCAAATGCCCATACGGACAGGGGCTACCACCTGTCAGTTACGTGTCGATGTTACAGAACAGTTCTAAAGAATACTACAGCATCACCAGTGGGACTCATGTAACCTGTATACATCTTCCAACACTGCTTACTCTGGAGATGTTCCAGCATCTTAGATATCGTATTTCAAATACTGGTAGAATTCAAAATAGTGTCCCAGATACAGTGCCTTGAAAGCTGTTGCTTTTTTTTAAAGTATATTTACTCTATGATTTTCTTTTTTTTAATATTTTATTGTGTGTGTGTGTGTGTATATATATATTTTACATCATTCTTCATTTTGTACATGTTTACATCTCGGCTTTCATGCCCATTAAGACATAATGTAAATATCTTCTTGCCAGGTGAACTGCGATCCGGTTGTACCCCTGACCCCAAAGTCTACATTGAGCTCATTCATCTGTATGAATCCTCAGATATCCCAGGGGGTGAATTTTCTACCTGTTTCACAAAGCTGCAGCGCAACTTTGTTCGACGACGGCCCACCAAACTGAAGGATCTGATACGTCTAGTGAAGCACTGGTACAAGCTGGTATGCCAGCTCTTGGCCTCGCTCTCCAGGGGTTATTTCTACCCATGTTCTGTGACCAGCACTCACTGAATGCGGGGCCCTATGTGCCCTCCCCCCCGCCAGGGGCTGGGCTGCTGTCTGGCGTGTGCCAATCCCCATTATGTTGGGACAGGTGTAGAGCACCCTATTGTTAAAGCTGCTTTTTGAGTTGTTTATTTTTTTGCCTTTGCTCTAACATCCAAATAATTCTTCAGGAACTCAAGTAGCCCTATCCACCAAGGGGGGGTGAAGTTGAGATTCATGTGCCCAGCATTGCCTTCGTGGCTCGTCTGTGGCCTGGGGGCTTCAGTGAGCACACACTGCTCTCTCTCCTGAAGGCAGGTAGAAGCTGCAGGTGGAAGTTTCTTCTGGCGGAGCAGGCTGCCGTTTTCCAGACTGGTTCATCTCCCCTCACATCCATCAGCTAGGGTGGTTTCTGAGTATCTTCATCACAACAAACATCCAGGGCAGTTTCTGGTCGTTCCTAAATGTTTCCTTTCTGAGTCCAGCGCTGAAGCCCAAGCAGGAGGCAGCGCTCTGTGATTTCCTGCCCAGGGAAATTGCTCTACCTCAGCCCCAGGCTCCAGAGGGCATGGCCTTGAGCCAGTCACTGCAGCACCCCAGTCCTCAGGGCTTCTTCTAGAATGGTGAGCTCTGGGCACGGGCAGAGTCAGGAATGATAGGGGTGAGATGCTCCGCCCTGCAGCAAGTATGCAGTGGGGGCTTGAGTCCAGCTATGTGCCACTTATGGCACGCCAGCCAATGACAGGTCATGTCTGTGAGGACAAGCGCCTGCTGCCTGGGGAGGCGATGGCCTTTGCAATGTGGCAGCGGCTTCCCACAGCTTATGTTTACCGCCCCTGTTGCCAGCATCACTTTCCCTCTGCAGGATTCAACCCTGCATAGTTTTGTTCACTGTGATCACATGCCATGTAACTGTATGGTGCAAATTGCATAAGGATGCATTTCCCCAAAACCTACCCAGATATGTGTGCAGTGTTATCTGATGGCCTCCTCTCCCCTCAGTGTGAGAGGAAGTTGAAGCCATTGGGGCCCCTGCCCCCAAAGTACGCCTTGGAGCTGCTCACCATCTATGCCTGGGAGCATGGCAGCGGGGAGGATAATTTTAACACTGCTGAAGGTTTCCGGACGGTCCTGGACTTGGTCACAAAATACGAGGAGCTCTGCATCTTCTGGACAGTCAATTACAACTTTCAGAACAAGACTGTGAGGAGCTTCCTGCTGGCCCAGATCCAGAAAGCCAGGTGCCTGCCGCCCCCGCCCCCTCCTCTTCACCTGATCCCCCCAGCACCATTTCAGCAACCTGGATTCTCCCCCCTCCGGGCATGATTCATTATCCTCGCGTGAAGCTGAGGATGGGGGGACATGCTTGCCCACAGGACGCCCACAGCCTCCGGAGGCAGGAAAACATCAGCCAGAAGGAGTCACACCCTGAGGTCACACCCTGACTTGCTTTCCCATTTCTGGATCTGGAGGAAAAGTGGATTTGTTAGCACGTCTAGGACTAACTGTGGGAAGTGGGTCACTGGGAAATATCTATCACCCGTGGCTGATTTGTGGCAGGGATGTGTTATCTCCCCTCTCAGCCCTCCATCCCACAAAACCTTTATCCTTCAAGAATACATGGGTGTCTCAGAGTATCTGCTCAGCACCACGGACAGGAGACAAAAGCTACAGAAAAAAGAAAGGGGGAGGGAGCGCCTCCCTGGTGGCCTGGGGATTAAGTCTCAGCCATGGCAGGCGGGGAGCTGACCCACAGGGCGCCGCAGACCCCTCCTGTCTCTCCTGCTGCTCCCCTCAGCAATGCATTTCAGTCCACCTGCCTGTTCTGCTCCACTGGCCTACACACCCCAGTTCTGTGCCCTGGCCCAGAGGAGCTAACCCCAGTCTGCCTCCAAGCGTGCTTAAGTGACAGCTTTTGAAACATATTTTTGACAATTATAATGTGGTTCTAGGAAATTACTTCAAACTGCATTAGTAGTTGGAACGACAGACGGCTTAGGAATAAACGTGGTGCTTATTGCTGAGAATAGAGTGGGCCCCAACCTGAAGCCGTCCGTTTTCAAAGGCACCTCTCTAACGCCTCCAACCTCTCCTTCAGGCCCGTGATCTTGGACCCAGCTGAACCCACCGGCGATGTGGGTGGAGGGAGCCGCTGGTGTTGGCGTCTTTTGGCACAAGAAGCTAAGGAATGGCTGTCCTTTCTTTGCTTCAGAGATGGGGCTGGAAAGGCAATGCGCCCATGGGTCGTGCCGGTAAGAGCATTGTGAGGAAGGGGACTTCTGGGGAGCACCCGTCATGGGCCTAACTGGAACCCCTACTCGCAGGAACTCCACTGGCTGATTTTTCTGCCGATTGCAAGGAGTTTTAAGACAGGAGCGCGGAGGGAGGTGGCCAGGACTCTCACACCGACTGCCCCTTTGTGCTTTCCAGGGAGCAAATGTCTCCACGCCGGGCTCTCAGCTTGTAAGGCTGGAGCGCACAGGCTTGTCATGATGTTAAGGGGAAGGATGTCCTAAAGGAACTCTGCAGTCTGGTGGACCCCGACTCTAACTTTCTGGACTCCACCCACTACTCCAGTGATTGGAAGCTACAACTCCCAGCAGTACCAGGGAGAGAACTGGGAGGACCCAAGGGCGGAGCTAAGCAGGCATCCTGGGACTCTGGGGGATAAACAGAGAGCGGGTTTTCGAACTGTCACTCTGGAGAGGTAACCGCTCTCTCTCTCAGGAGCAATGAATGGCTCTCGGGCCATGTGACTAGGGGCTGGCAGGGAGTTTGTGACTAGACTTCCCAGAGTTCCAAGTTAGCCGAGCTGATAAGCTTTTCTACCTCGTATCTCCCTCTTTCCCTGGGTTGTTCCTTTTCCTTTCTCCTTTTGTAAATAAGCCCATTACTCTTTTGTGTGTGTCTGCAGAACAATTAAATTTGAAGCGTGAGGGTGAGGCCCCACAGACAGGCGGCCCAGTTCACTCTGGGCTGCCCTGTAACAATAAGACCTGGTGTTTGTGACCCCTTTTGTGACCCCTGGGCCTTCCTCTACTCCCACCCCCCCCACCTCGCCATTTTTTCTGCCTGGACCTTGACTTCCACCTGAAGACACACAAATTGCTTTCAGTTTCATGAGGACTGAAGTCAGGGACGGAAGAGTGTGGAGCCTCAAGTCAGAAGGACCTGGGGGAGGGGGGTGCCATCTCTGGGGAACAATCTCCGGGGGTATTTTTCTGCTCGTTGCCCTAAGATGGGACCGACTGGCATGTGATGGGCAGGGGTCAGGAACACTGCTCGGCACCTCAGTGCCCAGGGCGACCTCACCACCAAATGCTATTGTCCTGCCCAGAACTGTCGTGTCATGTTACAAAGGAGCTCCAGAAAGTGAGGGGTGGACCGGAGGAGTATGAACGAGTCAGTGAGTGTCTGACACACCTGGCTGCCTCCTCCTTGACCTGATGACAAGCCTGCTCTCCAGGTACACCTGGTCCCTGCAGGTACCTCCAGACACCTGCCACCAGCCACACTTGGTTCTCCTTCAAGGCTCTTTGGAAGCTGGGCCCCTCAGCCCTGGCACCAGTGACATTTCAGGCCAGATCATCTTAGCCGTGGGAGGCTGCCCCAGGCTGCAGGGCGCTGAGTAATCAAGACATTGCTTCACATCCCGTGGGGGCAAAATGGTCCCCAGGGTGAGAATCCCTGCTTTAGAGCAGCCCCATTGACATGCCCACTGTGGGGTTACCTCTCATTATCAAGATCTGTACTACCAACAAGTACCCAAAATTGTCTCTGGTAATAGTTACTCTTCCAAACACACGTTCTTTTTAAAATGTTCCATGAGTCCGTTAGCCAATAGTCTGAACTGCTTAGGGAATGTCTTGTTCTCATGTGACTCTCTTTCCAGACGGTGCAGACACCAGGAAGCTGTGGAGCTCAGATACAGCCTATTGTCAACCAGGTGGTGTGATTCGGAAGCCGCTGGGAGACACGGATGTTCGGGCAGGCGCTTCTGCGGAGTTGGTGGCTGCACAGAGGGGAAGCCAGGCCCATCTGGCCCCTGCCGCTGCTTTGCCTGCTCCAGGACCTTCAGAAAGTCTCACCATGCCGAGCTCACTCTACCAGTGGGCATTCATGCCCACCCAGCTTGCTGTGCCCACAGCTGCTGCCAGCCTTTCTGGATGCTTCCTGCTAACTTCTTTTTCCTTCATTCACAGCAGAAGGCTCTCACTGTTACAGTGCAGCCCAGAGTGGACTTGAGTGGTCTGTGGGGCCTCACCTGCGCTCAACCTGCGCTCAAAATGTAATTTTCTACTGGCACACAGAGAAAGGGTAATGGGCTTATTTTTTAAAAAGGGGGAAAGGAAAAGGAACAACCTAGGGAAAGAGAGAGTGATACAAAGTAACTGGAATATTAACATCACTGCAGTTCCCAGTGAAACCTTTTGCCTGCCCCTGGGTTCCCATAACCCTGCAATCTTGTCCCCCTAATCCTCCGCCTTGTCTTCTTTTCTCTTTCTGTCCATATACAAAACTCATTCTACCCTGCAGAGTGAACCATATCCTAAACCATGGAAGCCAACCCTTCCTTGCCCCTTCAAAACTCTCCAAATCTCTTAGGCCTCCTAATGCTCCTCATCCGGATTGGGGCTCATCTATGTTGGCCCCATCCGCCTGTGAGTCTCTTCTCCCCAAATCTGAAGGCTTTCTCCTCCAACTTGAAGATCTTAGCATTTTAACCTCAGATGTCCACTTGATGTTTTATTGCTGAGCACATACCACTTGCCATCCAATAAAGAGTAAAGCTGGTGTTTGTCTCCAGTTCCTAAAACACAGATTCAAAACCCCTTGGGGCTCCCCACTGGGGAGCCTTTTGTATGCTCCCTTTGATTGTCTCAACAGAGGGGCTAGTGAAGCCAGAAAGACAAACACAGAAATGGTAGTCATGTGATTAACAGCTTGAAGCTTTCAGCCTCACCCCTCAACCTCCCATGAAAAGAGGGGGCAAGAGATTGATTTTCAACATACACACACACACACACACACACACATAATAACAGTTTATTTTTACATCATTTTGTACATTTTTTCCCCATCTCAATTGTAATCCCCGTGGGTTTCCCATCACCAAGTCACCCGTGTGCCATCACCATAATCCTGTGCACTTTCCTCCCCACCCCTCTGTTTTTGATTCCATTCCCCACTCCACCCCCACAAAATGTCTCTGGTATATGGTTGTTCATTATTCTTGTTATTTTCTCGCCTGGTCCATTATACTACTGCTACGAGTGAAACCCCATACAGTATTTTTCTTTCTCTTTCTGGCTTATCTCACTAAGCATGACCTTTTCCAGTTCCATCCAAGTTGCTGCAAAAGACATGTGTTTCTCTTTTTTGGTTGCTGAGTAATATTCCATTGTATATATGTACCACCTCTTTTTAATCCAGTCATCTACTTTTGGGCATTTGGGCTGCTTCCATGTTTTTCCAATTGTAAATAAAGCAGCAATAAACATGGGGGTGCAGGTATTTTTTTCAATCAGTGTTTTTGTGTCTTTTGGGTAGATACCTAGGAGTGGGATTGCTGGGTCGTAGGGAAGCGCCATGTTTAGCAGTTTGAGGAACCTCCAGACAGTTTTCCATAGTGGTTGTACTAGTTTGCATTCCCACCAGCAATGCAGGAGAGTTCCTTTTTCTCCACATCCTCTCCAACATTTGTTGTTGCTAGTTGTTTGAAGATGTGCCATTCTCACTGGGGTGAGGTAGTATCTCATTGTGGTTTTAATTTGCATCTCCCTTATTATGAGTGATGTTGAACATTTTTTCATATGCTTGTTGGCCATCTGCATTTCCTCTTTGGAGAAGTGTCTTTTTAGTTCTTCTGCCCATTTTTTTTTAAAGATTTATTTATTTATTCATATAGAACTGGGGTACAGGCCAGAGATGCAGAGGGTGAGAGGATTCACCAGAGACAGAGTGGGGAGCAGAACAGGCAGATCTACGAAGTACACTGCTGAGGGGAGCAGCGGGCGGGTCAGGAGAGGTCTGCCACACCATGTGGTCTCCTCCGGGGCAGGCGGGAATCGAACTCATGAGGAAGTGGCTTTTTAGCTTCTCAGTGCAGTGCTTTAACCCGCTGCGCCACCAGCGAGGGCCCATCTTCTGCCCATTTTTTGATGGGGTCGTTTACTTTATTTTTGTTGTCTACTCATATATATTTTTAAAGATTTATTTTTTTGTGCATACAGAACTGGGGTACAGGCCAGAGGTGCAGGGGTGGTGAGAGGATTCACAAAAGACAGAGTGGGGAGCAGAACAGGCAGATTGACGAAGTACACTGCTTGTTATTTTTGGTGGGGTCAGGAGAGGTCTGCCGTGCCCTTTGGGTCAGCTCTGGGGCAGGGATCGAACTCACACTAAAGTGGTTTAGCTTCTTAGTGCTGTGCTTTAACCCACTGTGCCACCAGGGAGGGCCCTCAACCCATATTTTAAATGAAATGAGTGTATTCTCACCTTGCAAGCAAGACAACCCACTGGCAGTGGGTTAGGTCCTCTGTGGTCAGTGCCCTGTGTCCCCAATGTGTGTGACTTCAGGGTGCCATCCGCACAGGGCTCTGACTTCCTGCTCACACCTTCATCCTTCTCCCCACTTTCCCTCCTATTCTGTGCCTCACCTGTTCTCTGCCTTTGTAGCCCGCTCGTGCTGCCACCTCGTGGCACTGGAGAGAATCAACCAGCTGGAGCAGGGAGTGGAAGTTGGTGAGCTGGGCTTCGTGCTGGTTATGGGAGGGAGGTTCCTTCTGAATCATGATCCCTGCAGAAAGTCCCTTGAAGCAACCTGTGTTCCTATGCTCTTCTCTAACTACTCATGGGAGGAGAGTAGGAAAGTCAGCAAATGGCTCTGGAAAAACCTTAATTTGGCTTTCCACAAGCCTAAGGACACTGGGTAAACACTGAATTGGTCCATTCTAGTATTTCTGAAATCATTCTATGCTCTGTGTTCAAGAAACAGATCTTTCTCATTGACCTTAAACGTCACCCCCAGTAATTCAAGCCTTTGAGTTCTGTAGGTGTACCCACTTTCAAGAATCCCCTATCAAATAGTTAATGCAGGGAAGCCTCAAAAATAAGGAACTGTGTAGTGTATCCCAACACTGTACTGTTAAGATGATAATGCAACCCAAAGTGATGTACAGGGTGAATGCAATCCCTAGAAAAATCTCAGTGGAGTTTTTACAGAAATGAAAAAGTCATCCTAAAATCATGTGGAATTTGGAGGAACTCAGAATAACCAATATAAACTTTTAAAAAAATGGAGTTGGGTGCAGCGGGTTAAAGTGCATCACTGCAAAGCTGGCCACAACCACTCCAATGCGAGTTCGATCCTGGCCAGGAGCTGACCCACATGGCGCGGCAGACCTCTCCTGACCGGCCTGCTGCTCCCCTCAGCAGTGGGCTTCATCAGTCGGCCTGTTCTGCTCCCCACTCTGTCTCTGGTGATTCCTCTCACCACCCCTGCACTCTGGCCTGTACGTACCCCAGTCTGTATGCATAAATAAATCAATCTTTAAAAAAACAAACAGAAGGAACAGAGTTAAAGAATTCACATTTGCCAATTCTGGAACTTGGTACAAAGCCACAATAATCACAACAGTGTGGTAAGTGCACAAGAATAGACATATAGACCCACAGACTAGCACTGAGAGCTCAGGAATAAACCTTCACCTCTGTGGTCGATGGGTTTTTTAATCAGGATGCCAAGCTCACCTGTGGGGGTGATGGTCAATAATGATGCTGAGAAAATGAGACGTTCACATGAAAGAATGAACGTGGACCCTTATGCCACATGCAAAAATGAGACTCAACGTGGAGCTAAATCTTTCACACCACAAATATAAAACTGTTGTAAGAAAGTAGGGGAAATCTGCATGACCTAGGATTTAATTATTTTTTTCAGAAACACAGAAAAAATAGATAAATTAATCTTCACTAAGGTTTAAAAGTTTGGACCACCCAAGGGCCCTTGCAAGCCAAGGTAAGGAAAACCCACAGAAAGGGAGAAAATACTGGCAAGCCACATTTCAGAGGAGCATTGAAAAACCAGAATATACTCCTACAACACATCAGAAAGACTAATGCCAATGAAAAAAGGCAACAGTGTGAACAGACATTTCTGCAAAGAAAGTATAAGCTCATGACCGACCAGATGTCACATCATTCATCATTAGAGCAATGCAATGATTGCCCCACCATACACCCTACTAGAGCGGCTGCCATTTTCTTGATAGGCAGTAACAGCTGTTGGAGAGGATGCGAAGAAATGAGAACTCTGCTTCACAGGCAGGGTGGGAAAGGGGGGCAGCCACTGTGGAAAAGCCTGGCAGTTTCCCAAGACATTGCACATGGACTTTCCATGTAACCTGGGATACATCTGGAGATAGACCCAAGAGTGCTGAAAGCAACAGGTACTTCCTTGTGGATATTCGTGGCCATACAGATCTCACCTGGGCCAGAAGGTGGGTGGAACTCAAGAGCCATGAGCAGTGGTCTGGGTCTAAGACATTCGGATTAGGCAAAAAAAAAAAAAAAGTAGCTGAGAAATCGTTGAACCTGGCTGCGTTGGTGGTGCAGTGGGTTAAAGCTACTTCAGCATGAGTTCAATCCCCGCCCTTCCTGGAGGGACCCACATGGCGCGGCACACCTCTCCTGACCCACCGCTGCTCCCCTCAGCAGTGTGCTTTGTCGATCTGCCTGTTCTGCTCCTCGCTCTGTCTCTGGTGAAGCCTCTCACTGCCCCCTGCACCTCTGGCCTGTACCCCTGTACCCTATATCCTAGTTCTGTATGAATAAATAAATAAATCTTTAAAAGAAATCGTTGAACCATTGCAAACTTGTCCTAATTACAGGAACCGATGATTACAATGCTTTTTGCCCAAGAACAGTCACTGATTAATTAATTATGTATCTCCAAGAATGGTTTAAGGTGTTTAACACTTATCAACTCTATTTACCTCATCTTCCTCCTTTGCTGCCATAAGAAGGCCTCACTTTGTCTCTTCTGCTCAGAACCTGTTGTAGGGTTCTACCTGACTCTGTACACCCCGTATTGTAATTCTTTAATCCCAAAGAAACATACGTATTGACCTCCTGAATTTTTAAGTTAATGAAGTTTACAAGGGACTCAGGGAAGAAATGTTGCAGAGTAACTGTGTTACTCTTCATTACACAGAATATTGAGGAAAAGGTTTGGAAATAGAGGTGAGGGTTACACCATATTGTGAATGTAATTGTGCTTCATTGTACACTTTAAAACAGCCGATTAACCCAGCCCTTGGGTGCCTGTTAAAACGAAGGTTCCAGTCTCGTTCTATCATGATTTTGAAGCAGTGATGAGTAAAAGTGATACTTTTGAAGAGCTCCAACATGCAAAATGTGATACAATCTGTATCTCCTCCTGATGCATGTGCACACACGCACATACA